AATAAACATAAATAAGCAATAGCAAAATATGAATTTAAAGAGTCCTTGCATGTTTTGACGATTAGATTTTACCTAGGCCGATTAAGTTTTTCCAAAATAATTATTAATAGTTTCGAATTTGCTGCCTCCTTAAGATTCCCCTTGCTTGAGCGAAACTCTAATAATTCTTCTACCTTACCCAGTGCTACACACCCTCCTCAACCAAAGGTCGCTGAAACTGGCGTCTTATTCAGCCTAACAACGGCATTTAGTCCTGCCAATTGCGTAGAGCACTGCGTCGCTCTTGAAGCATTTTTCAGTGCAGAAATTCTGCCTCATTCTCATCAATCGGCTTCCCATCAAACCGCACTTCCTCACAAAGCACAGCCTCCGTCGTCATCTTTTCGGTGGTCTGGAGGCGAGTGAAACAAGCCACTTTTGAAGGTTGTCAAGTAGAGTGATGCAACCGACCGCCTCTCCTCCACCTCCACCGTCTGTTGACCACTTCTACAGTCCAGCCTGTCCTGCCGACCTGACCCTGGAGGTTTGTCAGGTCTACTCCGGCCTCCGTGGCCTCCCGAATTGCGGCTTCTCTTCGCCGACATTTTCCTCTTCCTCCTCCTCGTCCTCTTCATCTTCTTGCTCCTCTTCTTCTTCCTCTTCTTCTTCCTCTTCTTCTTCCTTCCCCAGCTCTCTCGTTCCCACAATTTCCTCCAGCTCCATCGTCTCAGCTTCCGATGTGTCCGGTTACCTGGGCGACGGCAACATGTTTACCATCACCTCTTCTGCCTCGACTAACATGAAGAATGTGAACAGCACCAACGCTATCGATAATTCTAATCTTAGCAGAAGAGATCCGCCCAGTCGGAGCATGGAAGTGGAGAAGGCTGGTGCCAATGCCAGACAGCAAAGTGGATATTTTGATGCGAATAGGCCAAGTTTAGGCGAGAATGAGACGAAAAATGGCTACCCACTTGTCCGGCTATCCAGTCTGCCGCAGGAACTAGTCGACGAGACGTCGTCTCCTCGAGCCTCGGTCCCAGTTTTGCCTCAACCCACTGCCGTCTTAGGCGGCCTGGCAACAGCGGCAGGCCATGACGACCCGGCCAGTGTGAGAGTAGGCCAGACTGGGTCGTCTCCTCGTGACGGAGGAGGGAGCAGAGGAGCGAGGACGGCCGTGGAAGTGGTCAGACGCGATAGAGTCAGCAAGTTGGCCAATGGGTGTATTAGGGCACATCTTCCATTGCCGACGGCCGGGAAACCGGAACAAACTCACGATCAGGAGGAGGGTAAAGGAGAGGAGCAAGAAGAAGATGAAGAAGAAGAGGAAGAGGAGGAGGAAGAAGAAGAAGAAGAGGAGGAAGAGGAGGAGGTGGAGGAGAGGGTGGTGGCGGCTGGCGACGGCGGTGCCGACGAGATGGTGACGGTGGTGGGCCGGCGTCGAGCTTCACGCCGCAGTTATGCCGAACCCCCGGCTTTTGGATCGCCCGGCCGACAGACGTCCTTGGTCGTCGAGGCCTCCTACTCGGACGAGTTGTTCTCCCCCCTCCGTCTGCTGCCGTCCTCCTCGGCAAGACCGCCGACAACCGCACAACTTGCTGACTTGCACAACTCCGATGCACCACTTTCACCGCTTCTCTCCCTCCCACTTTCACTTACACTCGCCTTCCCCCTCGCCCCCAGATCGTCGCAGTCTCCAGTCGCCCATCAACCTCCACCCCACCTCTCCCATCTGCCCCACCTCTCCCATCTCGCCTACTCCGGCTCGGTGTCATACACCGGCAAGCCCTTCTCCGGACTTGTCGAGGAACGGCCGACAGCCCACCCGACGCCGACCAGCTCAGCCAGTCTCATCTTCCCGTCCGCCCACATGCTTCTGGCCACCGACAGCCTGAAGGAGGCTGGACGGCAGGCGGACGATGACGAGGATGACGATGACGACAACGACGACGACGACGACGACGATGGGGGAGAGGAGGAGGAAGAAGAAGATGACGACGATGACGAAGACGAGGAGCGTGAGCGAATGGGTGATAGAGACGTGGGCGACGGGAGGGATGAAGAGGCAGAGTTGGAAGCGG